TAAGGTCTGACCCTTACCATGGAGATTCTACCAGAATGGCACTAAGTTCTGACAGTAACCATGGAGATTCTACCAAAATGGCACTAAGATCTGACCCTAACCATGGAGATTCAACCAGAATAGCACTAAGATTTGACCCTTATCATGGAGATTCTACCAGAATGGCCCTAAGGTCTGCCCCTTACCATGGAGATTCTACCAGATTGGCACTAAGGACTGACCCTTACCATGGAGATCCTACCAGAATGGCACTAAGATCTCACCCTTATCATGGAGATTCTACCAGAATGGCACTAAGGTCTGACCCTTACCATGGAGATCCTACCAGAATGGCACTAAGGTCTGACACTAACCATGGAGATTCTACCAGAATGGCACTAAGATCTGACCATTATCATGGAGATTATACCAGAATGGCACTAAGGTCTGACCCTAACCATGGAGATTCTACCACAATGGCACTAAGGTCTGATCCTAACCATGGAGATTATACCAGAATGGCACTAAGATCTGACCCTTATCATGGAGATTCTACCAGATTGGCACTAAGGTCTGACCCTGACCATGGAGATTCTACCAGAATGCCACTAAGGTCTGACCCTAACAATGGAGATTCTACCAGAATAGCACTAAGGTCTGACCCTTACCATGGATATTCTACCAGAATGGCCCTAAGGTCTGACCCTAACCATGGAGATCCTCCCACAATGGCACTAAGGTCTGATCCTAACCATGGAGATTAGGTCTGACCCTTACCATGGATATTCTACCAGAACGGCACTAAGGTCTGACCCTAACTATGGAGATTCTACCACAATGGCACTAAGGTCTGACCCTAACCATGGCACTAAGATCTGACCCTTACCATGGAGATTCTACCAGAATGGCACTAAGATCTGACCCTTATCATGGATATTCTACCAGAATGGCACTAAGGTCTGACCCTAACCATGGATATTCTACCAGAATGGCCCTAAGATCTGACCCTTATCATGGAGATTCTACCAGAATGGCACTAGGATCTGACCCTTATCATGGATATTCTACCAGAACGGCACTAAGGTCTGACCCTAACCATGGAGATTCTACCAGAGTGGCACTAAGGTCTGACCCTAACCATGGCACTAAGATCTGACCCTTACCATGGAGATTATACCAGAATGGCACTAAGATCTGACCCTTACCATGGAGATTCTACCAGAATGGCACTAAGGTCTGACCCTAACCATAGAGATTCTACCAGAATGGCACTAAGGTCGGACCCTTACCATGGAGATTATGAGGCCTGGTCATCCCTTTCATCGAGATCCTAACCCAATAACCATACATATGCAAAAATGATAATATAAAAAGGCAAAGCCTTAAAAGAGCGTAGCTTTTGTTGATCTCTGATATTTACTGATTCAGAATACTGCTTTCAGAATGAGATTAATAGAATATCTCATCCCCTTGGGGGCGAGATAGGGGAATCACAACCATAGGGGGAAGATTCTTATGTTTGGCAACTTACGAATCTTTCCCCGAGGGTTGAGATTCCCCTGCTATCTTACCCACAAGGGGGTGAATGATTATTTTTCTCTTATCCTGTTCTCCCAATGTGTATCATATACACAATGTAATGATAACGTTACATGCTAAATCCAGGGTTGACGTGACGTTGATGGATTGTTGACATGACTTTGATGGATTGTTGACGTGACTTTGATGGATTGTTGACGTGACGTCATTGTATTTTTGAAGTGACTTAATACCATTGTTATGATTTTCTTTCTATCTTCTCAAAAGTAAATTTCTCCTGTTTAGTAATTTTACATTAGAGTTTTCCTCATCATTTTTTTGTGTGAATGCCCAGCCAACTTAACTGCAGTTGTAAATATTAGCTCAAAAAAAATATCAGGGGTGGCCGAACTTGCCCTGGTCTCCCGTTTGCAGATTTTTTTGTTTTATTGATGATTGGTAAAAATGTATTCACAATATAAATTTGTTGCATCAATGATGCCATTTTCTTCCAGTCCAAGCTTAAGTAGATACTTGGTCGGGTGGTGCAGTGGATAGCGCGCCCGTCTTCACCAAGATGGCGGGATTCAATACCGGTTACCTGCCCGACCATGCAGGTTTTCTCAGGATCCTCTTTTATCCTGCCACATAAAGAATTAAATCCTCCGCGTGCTTCCGTCAGGTCACAAAAAGAATGATTGAGATAAGTTGGGAAAAACTGTTTGGTAATTGCTATAGAAAAAAAGTGCATAAGACATATTTGACGATAAGTCTATGTAAACACTGTGGTCAAACGACACGGTATAGGTTCCGGAAATAGCGATCCTAAGCGAGGCAGTTATTGAAGACCACAGCATGCTTGTGATCATAGACATGTTTTCGGTATACTATCATCATTACGAAGGTGGGTACAAATCAATAAGTGTATTATAGATCAACCTTTGTTATGAACTTGAAATATCCCAGAAATGAAACTTAAAACCACATTAAAATATAACGAATCAGTGAGTTTATCATGGCCCGAAGTCGACAATCTCACAGATTATGTCAATAATTAACTCACAGATCTCCTTTGACACATGGTTTATGTATTTTCTCATTATTCCATTATTCATAAATTCAAAACACACATTAACGAAAATATTTATGTTTTTAAACATAATATAAACAATGATTGTAAATAACACCTATAGACCAGACTGTAGGTTAATAGCGATTGTGGCTTTAATTACTGTATGGTTTATTGGATTATTTTGTCTGCTGGTGGGAAAAAACTTTCTCTCACACAGATGGATAATTTCGAGTTCAGTTACTGCCAAAAGAGCTTTACAGAGTTTAGTGAAATAATTCAACATTATAATGCAAGACCACGGAACTAAGGAAGAACGGTTAAACAAACGAAGAATTGCCGTTATACTTTCTCGAGCAGGGTGCCTTACTGTGGCAGGAAACCGAGTACCCAGAGAAAACCCACATGGTCAGGTAGGTGACCCCATACCTTTTCATGTCGGATCGGGGAATCGAACCCCGGCTGCCTTGGTGAAAGGCACGTGCGCTTTCCACTTCATCACCCGACCACCCAGTACAGTAAAGAAATTACCTAAGTATTTGACTATTCTATTTCAGTTGAAAATGGTCGTATGCTTAGCCTCAGACTTTTCCCATGTAAATATTTAAAGTTGATGAGGTAATTTGTGGAAAAACTTCAAAATCTTGCTGTTTCAATTTAATGATTGTTTTTCTCAAAAAATTATGAAACATCAATTTCAGAAAATAAGACAGGCATTTTTGTTCAGGCACAGAATATGTTATTCCTATTTTAAACACTATTTTTATTTTATTTTTGTAGATAATAAATAACAAGTTCTGTTTTGATCATTTCCCATCATTTTATTAGCCAAGGAAAATGTGAATACTCATTTTAGCCTCAGTTTCTACATCCAGTAAACACTTTGACATGATGAAAACCCTATACAACTTGTACAGTCACAGAAAGACAGTCCTTACGCCAGAACAAATGGACTGAATAGAATAGTCACTGAAATGCACTACATGTATTAATCTAAAAGTAGATTTCAAACACAGTATGTCATCATTCCTTTGTTTGGATAGATCACCAATATGAGATTAATTACATCTAGAAGTAGGCAGGGAAGGTACTTGCAAATATTTTTGTAGAGGTAGCAGGCATATGTTGCCAACTTGGTGGCAATCCTTTAGCATCTAACCCCACTGGAAGACATTCAGGAATGACTGTCCCTCTCATTACTAGTCTCACATCAGTATCCTCCCCGTCAAGTGCAGGCTTCACCTTTAGCACCCCTGAAATGAAATGAAATTACATGTAGTGTATATATATCAACAGAAAGTATATGCATTAAATAGCAGTTGATACATACAAGGTTTGGTGATCATCTATGCCACACAATATACAAAAATGTCCTTTTTTTTTGCGAAGTAAAAAAGTTTTATAAAAAGAATGCATTCTTTACACATTCATTGGACGTAAAAAACAACATTATCAATCAGAAACGATGGAGTTCAGGGGGAAGATGACCCAATCTCAACCTATGCAACTCCCCCACTCCCCGCAAGGCACACACTCAAACAGGTACATGTATTAACAAATTTGATACATGTATTTTGTCAGGATTGGAGGTTGGGAAGCAATTCAAATGGTACATCTAAACAGTTTCAGGATATTAAAGTCAAAAATATTATATTTCGAGCAACTAAATATTGTATTTATGAGGAATATATATCCCTGCTTTAAAGAAAGATACAGTATTGATCATTGGCAAAGCTTGCTAGGTCTTCTGTTTGCAAATTTAGTGGATTAAATTTGCGTGAGAACATCAGTTTGAATGTATAACCTTACATATAAGTTACACTGTACATTATATGGCATTTTAACCTCTATCAAGGTCAACAGAAGTCAGCGATTTTGCGTGAGAATATCAGTTTGGATGTTTAATCTTACATATAAGTTACACTGTACATTATATGGCATTTTAACCTCTATCAAGGTCATTTAAAGTGTTTATGTCATCAAATACGATGCACGTATTCAATGTCAAAGATCGCGTTCAGCCTTGGAAAATCATTTATCTATATTAAAGCTTCAACTCCGCACAAACATGGCTTCGCCGACATCAACTAATATATGTGGTTAACGTTTCATTTTCTTTGTTAGGAAAAAAAACAAACTTTTGCAACTCCAGAAATGTGTGAAAACCATTTTTCTAATGAAATCTTATTTGCACAAAAGTAACATTTATTTCTCTCTCTCGTTTTTTTACGAGATCTAAACTTTAAATGAATAGATGCACCAACAGGGCTAAAAGACGTTTCCTCTACCATAACATTACAGAATTGTGCAGAAATCGTAACTGGTAACCGTTGCTTTAAATAATATTGTGTTCATTATTCTTATTTTATCGTATTTTATTGTATGAATAAACAAATGTATCTGTTGTTATTTGATGACGTCATATTTTTTCTAGTGAGCTACTTCACCGACGTCATGACTTACACGATGCTGGCAGGGATGATATCATCATTTATTGCTGGACAGGTGTTTGAGGCACAAAACAGGTGGTTTACAGGTAAGTGGTACATGTATAATTAACAGGTGGTTTACAGGTAAGTGGAACTGATATAATTAACAGCTGGTTTACAGGTAAGTGGTACATGTATAATTGACAGGTGGTTTACAGGTAAGTGGTACATGTATAATTGACAGCTGGTTTACAGGTCAGTGGTACATGTATAATTAGCAGGTGGTTTACAGGTAAGTGGTACATGTATAATTGACAGGTGGTTTACAGGTAAGTGGTACATGTATAATTGACAGGTGGTTTACAGGTAAGTGGTACATGTATAATTGACAGGTGGTTTACAGGTAAGTGGTACATGTATAATTAACAGGTGGTTTACATATAAGTGGTACATGAATAATTTACAAGTGATTTACAGGTAAGTGGTACATATATAATTAACAGCTGGTTTACAGGTAAATGGTACATATATAATTAACAGCTGGTTTACAGGTAAATGGTACTGATATAATTAACAGCTGGTTTACAGGTAAGTGGTACTGATATAATTAACAGCTGGTTTACAGGTAAGTGGTACATGTATAATTAACAGGTAGTTTACAGATAAGTGGTACACATATAATTAACAGGTAGTTTACAGGTAAGTGATACACATATAATTAACAGGTGGTTTACAGATAAGTGGTACACATATAATTAACAGGTAGTTTACAGGTAAGTGGTACACATATAATTAACAGGTAGTTTACAGGTTAGTGGTACTTATATAATTAACAGGAGGTTAACGGGTAAGTGGAACATGTATAATTAACAGGTAGTTTACAGGTAAGTGGTACATATACAATTAACAAGTGGTTTACAGGTAAGCGGTACTTATATAAGTAACAGGTGGTTTACAGGTAAGTGGTACATATATTATTAACAGCTGGTTTACAGGAAAGTGGTATATGTATAATTAACAGGTGATTAATAGGTAAGTGGTGTATGTATAATTAGCAGCTGGTTTACAGGTAAGTGGTATATGTATAATTAACAGGTGGTGTACAGGTATGTGGTATATGTATAATTAACAGGTGGTGTACAGGTATGTGGTATATGAATAATTAACAGCTGGTTTACAGGTAAGTGGTATAAGTATAATTAACATCTGGTTTACAGGTAAGTGGTATAAGTTTAAGTAACAGCTGGTTTACAGGTAAGTTGTACTTATATATGTAACAGCTGGTTTACAGGTAAGTGGTGCATAAATAATTCACACGTTATATTCTGGCATACCTGTAACTTACAGGCGTGATTGTTTGAAATAATACAGATAGACATCTGTTTTAAATGAAGAGGGGATTATCGGGTGTATTTGTCTTTTCCTTTTATTGAGGGAGGATGTGGTAAGGTTGTCCGACGGGTAAGACTTATTATCTCTTTCAATGTGACACGAATACAGTGTAGGTAATTGGTTTATTACTAAGAATATCTTTGGAAAGCTACTGGAAATTATAGGACAAACACCAATCCCAAAGTACATCCATATTGCACGCATAGTATATGTTTGCGACAGCATGCCGTAAAACAATAAAATCTGTTTATTTACATCCTGAAATCTATCAAATTGTAAACTTATTGTTTTTTGTGTGCCTATCGTCAATCAAGTAGTTGTCCCATTTTAACAGATATCTTTGGAAATTAATCGTTGGTGACACGTGACATTGGACAACAGGTTCAAAGCGTTTACAATTCTTCTATTTTCCCTAATTGGCGTATTACTATGTGAACTTATCTATTCAATATATAGTATACAGTGTTAATATTTCGGTCAATTTTTAATGTACATGTCTATTATAGAAATATAAGGGCAGGAGTAAGGTTAAAAGGGAGATCACTCCAATATTATGTTCGTCGTAATACGAACATATTACGGATCCCCGTACCGCTGCCTAAGTACTGTGTTCATTGGAAAGTTTCCCCAGCAGTACTAAAACTTTGATCTATCATTTTGGGAAAGAAGACGATACTTTGAGGAACTTTATTTGAAAAAGAATAAACTAGAATAATATTTACGACAGTACTTGGAGTGTTAGTACACCGGGGTGATACAGAACACTGAACCCCAGATCATGGTGTTATTGCTTTATGCAACTGGGTAGCATGGTCAACGTAAGACCTCTGACCCCGAGGGCTACAGTCATAATCAAAACTAAATTAAGGGGAGTTCACTGTGTTGACAAAAATCTACGGTGGAATCTCTAATGTTTTGCCTATGGTGGGACAGGTACCCTTAAGTATAAACGAGGCATGTAATAACAGTATTAAACGCTATACCAAAAGAATGTATCAATTTACATTGACTATATAACATTTAAATAATAATCTCAGTCACTTGAGCGATTTAATTGTTTCAAAGTGATTGGTACATGTATGGAAAGTTCGATGTCAGGGATCACGTTGACAGGTAGGACAGACAGATTGTTTTATATTGGTTGGCAGACATACACACTATACCAACCACTACTATGAAACAGAAAACGAAATATTCACATAGATTCGAGTTTGTGAAGAAAAAGGCATATATTATATATATTCCGTGTTTAAATAATGATTCTGTTGCATTAAAAGTTTTAAAAAATGTGAAAATCTAGTATGGCATATATTTTGTTACTTTTCAGGAACGATGAAGACAGTAATCCCCCTCACAGTGACGTCATGCTTGGCCATTCTGTTATCCTCCCTCGCCTTCCTGTCCTCGACGGCTGTTCTGTACGCTGACTTTGTTGTGCTGACCTTTTTCCGTTCCTTCGTTTTCAGTGTTAACATGGATTTTATCATAATTTCGTGAGTAAATATTTATCTACATTCTTTTTAAATATAAGTTACTTCATTCAGATTTACATATCACTTTACATGTGCTCATTCACAATTGTAGTGACGTCACATTATTCAATTTAAATAGTTTAAGGTAGCTGACGTCAGGACCATTTGAAAGCGTCGTAATGACGAAGGGTTGTTTCGATTTAATCAGAACAGTGACTCAATAAGCACTTAAATCATTTCAATTATAAAGGGGTGGTAAGAATTGTGAATGTGTACTGATATTAAATGTTGATTTATTACGTAACTGGTTAAGTTGGTCGAGTTTAATAAAGCATTTGCTTCATGCCTAATCAGTCAACAGCCAAACTGTTTTCACTCGGAGCTGGGCCCCACCAGTCGAACTAGCAGCTTCCCTCGGGTCAAAAGTCCTCGGAGGTGTATTTTTTAATGTTGATTTATCAGGCATAAAACAGCTGTATGATATGTGACGTTAAAGTCTCTTTATCTTGTACGTTTATATATATAAGATACTGTGCCTGGATTCTTCCTTGGTGAAAACGTGAATTTCAGTCAGTTGTTATTGTCGTATTCAGGTTTCCTCAAAAATTTATGAGTCTGCTCTTCGGCCTCGTGATTTCGGTTTCCGGTGTCGTGACCTTAACCCAGTACGCCTTATTCACGTGGACAAAAAAATACGACAAGGCGATGACACACGTAAGTTGTCCTACTTATTCTGCAATACCTATCCTTTATAAAGAACTATCTACTTGATCAAAACAGGTTTTCACAGCGATTGCATCTTCAGTAGGACTACTTTTAATAAAGAATTGATACGCGTACACTTATTGATTTGAAACACTGCTATTATATGGCACAGATGGTCGTCGTAGTAAGGATTTTAACTGTTTTTGTTTTTAAAATAAAAACATTCCAATAGTTACAATTGTGTCAGTTGAACTATCAAATTATTTTTACTCGTACGAAATGATTTGTCAATAATTTCAATCGTAAAAAAAATCAATTAAATCATTAATCTTAATACACATGGTATAATCGTGGGATATTATAGAGAGTACCAACTACATAACAGGTCATCTGACATTTTATCACATACCTGTTGAATCTTGTTATAGGAATACAAGTAATTTTCAGACCCTGAAATACAACGTTCTGTATTGCACATGTGCAATACGGAATGTTGTATTTACCTACTAGCCGGAAGTACTTTTTATGGGAATCCCCTTGTCATGGCGAACTGAAAAGTTCCCGTTATTTGCAAAAAATATCAAAGTTTATAAAATCTTTGTATCTTTCTCTACCAAATACGGAAGGTATGTAATAAAAGCAAGACCACACACTTGTGTTTTTCTAACGAATTAGAAAGCACTCATTTATTGCGCGGAGAGCGCACTCGTGAATATATTCGTCCGCGCAATAAACTCGTGCTTTCAGATTCGTTAGAAAAACACAAATGTGTGGTTTTGCATATATATATATCAAATATTCAACCTACCACCACAACAGGGAGCGTAAAACAGATAAAGTCATACAACATTAAACCAACCATCACAACAATGAGCGTAAAACAGATAAAGTCATACAACATTCAACCTACCACCACAACAAGGAGTGTAAAACAGATAAAGTCATACAACATTCAACCTACCACCACAACAAGGAGCGTAAAACAGATAAAGTCATACAACATTCAACCTACCACCACAACAAGGAGCGTAAAACAGATAAAGTCATACAACATTCAACCTACCACCACAACAAGGAGCGTAAAACAGATAAAGTCATACAACATTCAACCTACCACCACAACAAGGAGCGTAAAACAGATAAAGTCATACAACATTCAACCTACCACCACAACAAGGAGCGTAAAACAGATAAAGTCATACAACATTCAACCTACCACCACAACAAGGAGCGTAAAACAGATAAAGTCATACAACATTCAACCTACCACCACAACAAGGAGCGTAAAACAGATAAAGTCATACAACATTCAACCTACCACCACAACAAGGAGTGTAAAACAGATAAAGTCATACAACATTCAACCTACCACCACAACAAGGAGTGTAAAACAGATAAAGTCATACAACATTCAACCTACCACCACAACAAGGAGTGTAAAACAGATAAAGTCATACAACATTCAACCTACCACCACAACAAGGAGCGTAAAACAGATAAAGTCATACAACATTCAACCTACCACCACAACAAGGAGCGTAAAACAGATAAAGTCATACAACATTCAACCTACCACCACAACAAGGAGCGTAAAACAGATAAAGTCATACAACATTCAACCTACCACCACAACAAGGAGCGTAAAACAGATAAAGTCATACAACATTCAACCTACCACCACAACAAGGAGCGTAAAACAGATAAAGTCATACAACATTCAACCTACCACCACAACAAGGAGCGTAAAACAGATAAAGTCATACAACATTCAACCTACCACCACAACAAGGAGCGTAAAACAGATAAAGTCATACAACATTCAACCTACCACCACAACAAGGAGCGTAAAACAGATAAAGTCATACAACATTCAACCTACCACCACAACAAGGAGCGTAAAACAGATAAAGTCATACAACATTCAACCTACCACCACAACAAGGAGCGTAAAACAGATAAAGTCATACAACATTCAACCTACCACCACAACAAGGAGTGTAAAACAGATAAAGTCATACAACATTCAACCTACCACCACAACAAGGAGTGTAAAACAGATAAAGTCATACAACATTCAACCTACCACCACAACAAGGAGTGTAAAACAGATAAAGTCATACAACATTCAACCTACCACCACAACAAGGAGTGTAAAACAGATAAAGTCATACAACATTCAACCTACCACCACAACAATGAGTGTAAAACAAATAAAGTCATACAACATTCAACCTACCACCACAACAAGGAGTGTAAAACAGATAAAGTCATACAACATTCAACCTACCACCACAACAAGGAGCGTAAAGCAGATAAAGTCATACAACATTCAACCTACCACCACAACAATGAGTGTAAAACAGATAAAGTCATACAACATTTAACCTACCACCACAACAAGGAGTGTAAAACAGATAAAGTCATACAACATTAAACCTACCACTACAACAAGGAGTGAAAACAGATCAAGTCATACAACATTAAACCTACCACTACAACAAGGAGTGTTAAACAGATAAAGTCATACAACATTCACGATTTATTACGAATACTCGTGTCTTCACACTGTCAGATTATCTCAGGTATTAAAATACAGGATGTAGGAATTAACTGGTTATTGTCATTATATTATTTCTCTGTTTCAGGTAAACATTTTCCTGTTGTGTTTATCGGTTATCTCCCTTCTACATCCGGTCCTCATTGTCATGAGCCAGAAACGAAGATCACTTAATAAAGATGTCGACACTACTAACAATGGTAGTGTTGATTCCAAAAATGTGAATGGACATTCAACAAAGCTGTGACGGCTGGTATTCAAGGGTTCGAACCCTTCACCTTTCATGTGCGCTCTTTTTATTCTACAACATATCAACATACAGTTACTACATACACGTGGCTATTGAGTGTTCGTGACTGAGTATTTGCCTACGAATGTTTGAACAGTTTATTCCATTGACGTATTTGTATTACAATAGTGATATATAACTTAGCAATAGGTCATTTTGACGTCATTAAAAGTATAGTAGTCATGACAATAGTTGTTTTTAGGTTTTTGTTACTGTTGTTTTTTGTTTTGTTTGTGTGTGTGTGTTTCTATTTGGTAATAATGCTAAAAAATATTTAAAAAAAATGAAACATATATAAAACCTGATTGCATTAAACAGATCGCACCAGAGCTCTTCTAAATATATTTGAATTTGTTCTGCGGAGAGGAGGGGGAAGGGACATGCCGGTAGACCCCCCTCAGGAGGCTTCGTGCCTTTAGCGAGACAGTTAAACACAGACAAACTTTAGAACGTTTGGAACCCTAGTTTTCAGAATTCTTGAATCTTCATCTCGAATATTCGTTTACATATCGTCCCTTTAAATATTTAAAGTTACAATATTCTCACCATTCGCATTTACGCAGACATAGATATTTGTAAAAAAAACATGGATGATTAACAGTAGGTCGGGGTGGAATGCTATATCTGCCGTGGATCTTTGTTGTTGATTTTTCGTTATTCACTAAGAGTTCTGAATATCAAGTGATATTTCCCACTCTAGTAACTTGACGTCCTTATTCCGTCTACTGCGTCATGTCGTTGCCTGTGTTTTTGTAAGTTGGAGATTTCCACCGAAACAAATTGTATGTTGTTAAGAGATCAAAGTGAGTGATGTTTTATACAGAACCTGAATGATACCATGTATGTGCATAACCAAGTATGTAGCTGATTAGCACTTTGTAAGTAAAGCGTTCATGCAATCTCGGTGAACAAAACTACCGCGTGCTATCTACATGTGTGTATGGTTTGCTTAATATAATCAAGAGAACTACAGTTTCAAAATAAAGCAAAAAATGTTTCACCTCTTTTCAAGCGTCTATTTTCATTACTGTTTAAACAAACAGTTTCCCTTCTATGACTTCAAAAAATCAAAATAGGCCTGATAGTAATATAGAGCTATATGATAATCCGACAGGTTTTCTGCGGTTAACATGCGTTGACATAACCGATGAAGATTCCTTATCAAATGCTTTCGTTTTGAGAATGTTAAAGTAATTTATACAAGATTAACCCATGTCACCTGCATCAAACATGTTAGTTAAAGTAATCATACTTAAAAAGGAAATGATCAAAGAAGAAAATCAAAGAGAGGCCGAACGTGTGTTTCACTGTACGATCTGTTCGAGTTATCTCCCTTATTTTGCTCTTTTATATTTACGGTCATGGACGTAGATTTGTGTAAAGTTGCATTGAAGAAATATCAGTGACAATTAAAGTGTTTTTTCACTAGAATGTAAGATTTTAAAACGATAATTTTCACCTGTGAAAGATAACAGTTTTCATATTTGAATCAATGAAAACACGGATAACACGACATATTGGAATATACAAATTCAAAGACAACTTATTAAAACGGAAGACTAACGAATTAAGTTTTTTCAGATTCGGTTGCAGCAAAACCAATGTGGGAGCATCGGATAGGTCACACATCAAGCAAACACTTTGAGTCAAAATACGTGAAGACGACCGCTATAAATATAATATACCGTGAAGTGCTATAAGCCTTTCACGTCGCGTAATTTTCCTATTGGCTCTATTTTGATTTTCTCTTCTTTCAATAGTATAATATTGACATCGGTTTTCGTCCCATTTTGATAACGTTTTACCGGTGACAATAAATTAATTGAGTGCTTTTTATACAATTTAATTTGTCTTTGCTATTGAGATATAATGTTTTAACCTCTGCTTAAAGGTTACATTTGACGTCAAATGTTATAACTTTTGCCGTAAAAACTTGTTTTGGCCAATTAACTCCAGATGTAAGCATGTTTAGAATTCTAAGGAATGGATAATTATGTAAATATAACCACAAAAGTGCTGGACACATTTCATCAAAATAGAACGAAAAATGAAACCAGGAATACATTTTGTATAACAAAGTAAATAAGCATTGAATCCAATGGGAAAATAACGCGAGGTGAACGGCTTATGGCACGTCACTGCATGTACACTTTCTATGTGTGGTATACTGTTTGTCTGACGTGATTCCTATATCAATATCCGTCTGACATAATCGTATGAACATTCAATATTGCTAGACCAGGATTCAGGAATTACCCTGGTCCTATTGATCTACGAAGTTACGGGGAGTTACATGTTTCAGTCGAATTCTCCAGCGTTTCGCCTGTAGTGCGACAGACATTACAATATCGCCTTACTTAACGCGGTAGTCAGTTGTATCTATCTGTAAATCTAATGTCTCTCACACCCGGGGATATTCCTTAACGGGAGTGTCGACACCTGTATAGAATCCTAGTCACGTGACAGGTTCAGTCTGTACGACAATCCATCACACAGGACATCACGGAAAGATGCCTTCTGGGTAAAATCACCGCTAATCCATTATACTACTCCGGGTAACACCTTTATGTGTGTTAGTCTCTTTAGATAGATAATGTTAAACTTTAGATAGATAATGTTAAACTTTAAACTTGAGATAGATAATGTTAAACTTTAGAAAGATAATGTTAAGCTTTAATTTTTAGATAGATAATGTTAAACTTTAGATAGATAATGTGAAACTTTAAATAGATAATGTTAAACTTTAGATAGATAATGTGAAACTTAAGATAGGTGATGTGGAAATGTTGCGATTATAGTGTAAAAATATTTGAAAATAACACCCTATTTAAATGCTTATAAATCGGCTATTGCAGACTATTCCTTTCCCTCTCTATTACGTTTAAAACGTTTAGATGAACAGTTTTATCTTAGATATCTTATTTTGAAACATTAACAATTTGTTTTTCACATGCCGCCTTTGTTCAGAACTCACCTAGCGACAATGGCACTTGATCCTTAGAGTTCTTTTGCTCGTTAAGTAAGGCGAAGTTTGAGCATTTAACGTTACAGTATCGGCGAAAGCTGGTGATATTTAAGTCGAGTTTATCATGTCGTAATAATTATTTCTTTAAGTCAACTTATCGTGATCATTTAGTCCTATTTACCCTATATATCGGCCAACATACACATACTTATCACCAATTATAGACACCGTGTTAGTTTAAACTTATTTTATTATTGGTATAATATTCCAGTAATACAAACATGATCTACATATAGGATTCGAAAACAAGTACACAGTACTTATGTTATTCCGTCTCCTTTTTTGTGAAACGGCGATTGGACGGCTCTGGCTAACATTATTAATATAAATATAGATACAATATATAGTCTTTCAGACTGAAGAATCTCCTAGAAGAGATGAAAGTTCTAAATACTCGTTGTTGAGAATTTTTTCTTTATATATATATATATATATATATAAAAAATAAGATTAACGACCGACTAAAAAACTAGCTGCTTTCACCCTTCACAGGGCTCTTCAGGTTTATTCAAAAGAACAACGTCGTGACGTCACAATTACATGTCATCACACTACAATAGTAACGTGACGTCACGAAGTACACAAGATTGGTGGACAATTTGGCGTAAAATTTTACTGTGGCCTGTTGAGACTTGGTTTTAATATTTTGATTTTTAGTTTTTTTTAGTCGGTCGTTAATCTGATTTTTCTATATTTACTTCCTTCACATGGACATTTAATCCCTTTTTATTATATATATATAATGCGGACGATCTGAAAAATTTGTTTTTATTCTATATATATATATATAGATAAGATGGGTTGTACATTATTTTATGGAAGAGAAGAGGATGGGGAGGAAGGAGAGAAAGAGGTGCAAATAGGTTAAAAGAAAGGGTTGTTGGGGTAAGGAGTATAAATTGACTGCATTATGGGAGGAAAACTGGCTGAGGTATATTTTATAAATAGACACATATCGATGACTGTACATGTCAATGAGCTCTTCAACACATAATTAATGAATTGCATATAATGAAAACTGTCCATGCCGACCCCTGTGTATATCGACATCCAGTGGTGTACAACAACCAGCTGTACTTTTAAGTATCAAAAGTAACATCAAACAAGACTATGACAATTTGTAGATGTATATCCATACTGACGATAGACACGGTGTGATAAGTAATACTGTGATTGGAGAAATAAGGGGCGGGGTTGAAGGGATAAAGCGGGATAAATTCAAAGCAAACATCTCCTCCATTCATCATTACAAAACGCCAACATTGATTTAATATTTTACATATTTATTAAACATGATTTAAATGGCAAACATATACACTAAACTCATACATTTCTTTATGATAGTAACAATAAATAACATAGTACCTTACATCTCAACACGGAGAGTCACCGACAATGACGAACATATCTTTCAGCAAAATACTCAGCTTATCGCCAACTGATTTTTATAAACCAACTTGTAAACTTACTCTATATTACTAATATATATAGCAGGCGGCACTTGTCATTCACCAAGGCGGCCGGGGTTCGATTCCCCGATCGGACGTACCAAGGTATTGGGGTCACCTGCCCGACGACGTTGGTTCCCGGTTCTCCAGNAACTAACTTGTTTCATAATTGTTATAAATTCGGTAAAGTTTATGTTTATTTGATATTACTAATAATGGGAATTATCTGTATATCTTTGCGTAATTTAGCCTTTAGCATCAATCCCTAATTGAACTTTAACGCGAAAATATATTAACATAAAGACCGACATATAAGTGAAACGCATATGGAAGTTCTCCCTCATAAGTACCTTAAAGTCGGTTCCCGATATTTAGAGTGCACGTAATAAAAGCTATCTAATAAATAATAAATGTGAAATTCCAGCCGTCACACAAATAAGATACATAACACCGAAATGAAACAACAGTTACAATAGTATATTTTTATTTTCAAATTGTTGAAGTTGGTCAGTACCATTTAGAAGTATATAATTTATCATTCGTATAAAAACGGTATTTCTTTGTGGAAGCTTGGCATCAAAATATTTATCATTTAACTGATATCTTAAATTTTATTAATATGCTTTATTTTCACAGCTCTGTTTTCCTTCTATTTCGTCTTTCTTTTTGTTTTTTCATCATGTTAGAGATAGCGTCGTTGATTTTTCCTAGCGGTAAGCCGTTTTCACCCCCTAGTTGTCCCATTAGGCCCATTAAGCCTTCCATGCCACCCTTACCCCCATCTCCTCCCCCCATCAGACCACTGAGCTTACCCATTAAACCCTCCATGCCCCCTTCCCCTCCTTTACCAATAGCTCCAGCGAGCTGGCCCATTAATCCTTCCATTCCCTCTGCTCCTGTTCCTTCCCCGCCCATTGCCCCTGCTAATTTGCTAACCAACCCAGCCATACCCTCGCCCCCACCGTCTGTCCCTCCCTTACCCATTGCTCCTGCGAGCTGACCCATCAGCCCAGCCATACCCTCGCCCCCACCGTCTGCCCCTCCCTTACCCATTGCCCCTGCGAGCTGACCCACCAGCCCTGCCATACCCCCGCCGCCCCCGCCGCCTCCCAGCATTCCTCCTATCATGCCAGCCAGCCCTCCAGAATCTTTCTGGTCTGGGAAGACCGCATTCATAGCATCTTCCATGATCTAAAACAATTATTATTACAATTATTTGATGTATTGAAGACTATATTCCGCTAAACTTGTTTATGAGAAGTGTTGAATTACATACTGAAGAACATTTTCAGCTTAAAAGTTAAAATAAATCGTATTCAAATGACAAATAATACCGCCAATTTAAATACTCAATATGTCGTAATTTTTTTCTCGGCATAGTAAAAACACAGCTTAAATGTTCGCGGTAGAGAAATTGGATGAACACCTGATAATCTAACCCAAGTATCCACGAAGATTAAGTCATCGACAGTTCGTTTTTAGTATTAATATTTATTAAACAGAGTTAAATTAAAAATTAAAAATAAGTATAAATTGTGTCTAAGTTGCATTGAAAAAGAATAGATTTAAATCAGTTCAACTTACATTTTCAACAATTTTTTTGTCTTTCGCCTTGACGGCATCCTCCTCGCTCGGTGTTGTGTCTTCCGTGGGGTCCGTTGTTTGGTCCGCTGTTTCACTGGCACCTGCAGACTCCACCCCTCTTTCCGTTCCTTCTTGTCCCTCTGTAGGTTTTACCTCGTTTATTGTGTCCTTATTGGTTTTACTTTCTTCTTTCGAAAATATCTTGACCAGTGTGACGTCATATTGTAGTGTAGAATTACCGGGTACCAAATTCCCTGTAAAAGTCATATAACTATTGGTCAGTTTTTATGTCATTAGAGGTTACGTCATCCGTAGTTACATACACTTGTTCCCAATAACATCCGAATGTCATTTTAAAAAGGCCAACAGGGGAGGTAGTTTTTTTACATTTCCTTTTATTAACATTTAACTACATCTGGACCTTGCCACACTGGTAACTTGTTATTTACAGACTTGTAAACTTATAACGAAGTGTGACGACATATTGAGGTATATATATGATATAAATGTTAGGGGAAAAGGGAAACGGGCTGACGAAGATTGAGGCGGACATTGATCAAAGAAAATCCTCTTCCGGCATGACTAAAACCTTGCGGAACTTCGATGAAAAATTATAATATGATAAAAAATTGCAACAGTGTTCTGAGTGTAGGAATGCAAAGAAGCCAGAATTCGAACCCGTACACCATTTCATTACATTCGTACTGTCGTTCCAACAAACTGAGCTACTTGGTCAACGACAGATCCCTGGTCAATTACAGAAGCCTGGTCAATGACAGAACACTGGTCAACGACAGAACCCTGGTCAATGACAGAACCCTGGTCAAATACAGAACCCTGGTCAACTACAGAAAACAGGTCAACGACATAACCCTGGTCAATGACAGAACCCTGGTCAACGACAGAACCCTGGTTAATGACATAACCCCGGTCAACGACATAACCCTGGTCAAATACAGAACCCTAGTCAAATACAGAACCCTGGTCAACGTGATACAGTAAAAATATACAGTGTTAATGTTTTAGTCTTTGCCTGCAGTGGAACAGAAAACATCAGTTCCTTCAATCAGTGTTATTGGACCGATATATCACGTCCCATGTCACATTAAAGTAGATCTTATTCTCAAGTCGACTCCTGTATTACCCTCTATACATGTACGTACCCTGTTTAGTCTGGCTATCTTTAACGCCGTATCCTAGCAACGGAGGTACAACCATTGACCTTGACTCCTGTTCACACATATCAAACAAGCCTCGCTCCAGGGTCGGGATGTCGACGAACTGGCCAAGGTGCACGATATACGGCGAATCTTCATTTGTCCTGGAGTAATAATTAAAAAAGTCAAATTATTTAAAAGTTCTGTAAAAGTTCTTCCGGTGCTGCGCAGTTGGTGCGGAAGTGATTGACACGCTTATTATTTACATCAAATCTGAGCTGGTCTGCCTCATATTGTCTGTCTATACAACACTTTTCTATTCTTTTATCAAAATGGGGCATATGTAGAGAACATTTGTAGCAGAGACGCATTTATCAAATTGAAATTCAAGATTACATTTTGAGAATGTGCTTGTCACTGTTACCGTTGCGCAACGATCGGCAGGTACAAGTGTCACAATATTATAACTTGTGTTGCAAAATATCAAAAGTTATCTAGAATTAGTGATTTTGTGTAAATAAGATACAGACAAAATATTATTTTTTTTCGAAATATTGACGCTCATTTTTTTATTATTAGTTTCAATTAAAAACTATAATGATTGTTTCGATAATTTCCGAAAACTTTCATATTGGTTTTTATCAATTTATGAAAATTGATATTGACGTTACCGGAGACTACATTCTCCAAAATCGTTATTTGTTCGAACGCAAAATGTAATCTACCATAATGAAAATTTTGGATTTAATATAAGTACAAAGAAGAAAATAAGTAAATAACAAAAAATTAATAAAACACGAAATACAAACCTTGACTCAATAACGTTGTCAGTTCCGTGGATTTTGATGACGTAGTGCACTAAAAGCCTGTCGTCTGCCTGAGATTTTCGCAAACAATCGCCTCCATTTTGAACTGTTTCCATGGTTAAGTCAGAAAGCTCGGTGTCTGCTTTGACTCTTTTGATGACTATTGTCCAAATGGCAGTGTACCACACAAGTACCATAATAAAAATCAATAATATCAATAATTTACCGGCATTCATCTTGAAACCTCCTGGTTTGTTATAATATTAAAAAGTGAATAAACAATAAAGGTGTTACAAAAAATCAAATCAATATTTCCTAGAAGATTATGGCATGATGGAGTGTAAACCAAACCGTTGGTGAATTTTGTCCATTTGACCCGGTTATAATAACGTATAGGGCTCAGATACCACTCGGCACGTATTCGTCGGTATATTACACGAATGCACACGTCCGAACAAGAAATATAGGTGTGTCCGCAGAGCTAAATTTGCATAATTTATGACGTCATGTTATCCTTAAAGGAACAGCGCTGAGAGTAACAGAGTCCCTTCTACTTCCTGCGTCTCGCCATCTTTTGAACTATACGTATACGCCGTATATCGTGGTGTCACATTTTACCTTCAGGGAGTAAAGCGCCGGAAGGCGGAACACAGCGTCGACGGGTATACATCGTGTATGTATCGGACAGCGACACGTGTATAAACCCAAAGTCGAGTTATGTGATCTGTTTCGATAGCATCATGTAGAAAATAAATAGTGATATTAATGATTATTAATGTATAATTGAATCAGTTATAAAGATATATCATACATGTGAAATTTGAAATTTATTTTCACACTTATTTAAAGCGATGTTAAAAGTAAATTTGTTATTAAATTGCAATAATTGTTTGAAGAAATTTAAGGAAAACATGAATTTTAAATTTGTCAGCATTGTTATTTGTTATATAATTTTCACACAGAAATATATCGGGTTGGAATTTCAAAAAGTAAGCATCATCGAAACTCCAGACTAAAGGAGACATGGTTTATGTCGAGAAAATTAGAAAACAAATAATGAGTGAATAGTTATATGTAAACTTAAAAAATGGCCATGATTTCAAATACTATGTACACATGTTAAGTGCATATGGCAGACTTTGGAATCAAGAGGTAGCACATTGCAATAAACGATTTACACATACAGCCAGTTACATTTTATATCGTTTTAAATTTAAACGTGAATTTGTGCAAACCTTATCACCTTTTAGGTAAAGGGTACCAGAGAGAAATATATTATAACCTGTCACTATTACAGTATGTGTCTTGAAGTCCTTTTTATAGAAATGGCCCATATACATGTACAGAAAAGTATTTGAAGTTTGAATATTTTAAAACTAGACAAGCAACATAAAAACAAACAAAAACCAACGACAGTGTAGGTAGATCTCCATACCTAATTGTACCACGTTGGTTAGTAACCTTTGAACATTGGACAGCAGACAAACGTTCTTCCAAACCCTCCCCCGAAAAGATGTCGAGTGAGCTACATGTACCTGTAGTTACAGGCATTTAATTTTGTACATGTATTTAATTATGGTTAACTATCTGTTAACGGACAAGTTAATTTCTATAGATCTACTTAAAATCACTGTCAGAACATGGTGAGACTTACCGCGAAGTTAACTGGGAAAAATGGTTGTTAGATTTCGTCATGTTAATTTCATGCATTGACGAACGATGTCGATATATTGCTGGTTTGGATTGATTGAAATAAGCATCTGGTATAAAGCATGACGTCAGTGTTTATTGTTGTAGGCATCACGTGAAAAATGCTAGCGCACGCAAAAGAAAAGACTGTAATTCAAATAATTATATTATCTTGGTCACCTTGTTCATCATAGACTTATGGACACTGAAGTAGAAAAAAGACGCTCATTACATTTGGTAGAATAGATATAATCAATACGTGTTTGTATATAATAATGATAAACAACTCGAGATCGAAAATGTTGGAAAATAATCAAATAAGGCCGCTAACACCCCTAACACAAGTTACGCCAACGTGAAGCGAAGAAAATGATGACTTTAACAAAAATCTACTTAGCTACATGTATATTGTGTACTCACAATATACATATTGTTTCTGGTTCCTAGGTCATTCTTAGGTCATTCGATAATTTGTAAATTGCTTATCCTCGTTAAGAAGTATCACTGTATCATTAACATGGTACATTCTGTGGTGTGCTTCTCAGTAAAGTTTGAAGAAACAGGAATTTAAATGTGGAAGAGTATCTTTTAAACGGAATCTGGATTAGCTCAAGGTTCGAGGCTTGCTCCAGTATTGTTTATACTTTATGTGCATGATTTACTATTATTTTATAAAGAATTCAAATGAAACCAGCAATGCCGATTTTGCCGATTTTGGGGTGGTTTGGGTTTTCTCCGGGTACTCCGGTTTCCTCCCATATTAAGACCCCCGCCCACTAGCATCCGGGTTAACAAGATTGATTAGTATAATTTTAAAAACTTGTTTAATAATTGTAAACTAAAGAAAGTTTATATAATGCCGATTTTGATGAAAATATATTTAACTTTAGTCTAAAAAGCTACCAAACATTGCTTTACACTGCACAGTTTGTCCTTTACTCTTAAGAAAACCAATTTTCCAAGATCAATAAATTTTAAAGTGTAAATTACCAGAAACAATTATAATATATGTATATGATAACCTTTCCTGGAATCGATCGTCATGCCGGGGGTGTACCAAACATGTTATTGATATTAGGTCTAATAAGGAACGTATGTCTTTGATTATGGTCTTACGTCGTCCTAACAGCTTTGATCATATGGAAAGTCTAGAGCTGACGAAACCACTAAGGGCTCGTGACCTGAAAGTGCTACCCAACTAAAATATTAACCTGACAAGGGTACGATTTAACCTCACCTGGCCAAAATAATCTGACAATATGCTAACCATGTCTAGAGGCGACGAAAGAGTTCTCACATAACTTAAAGAGGAGGCTAGAGGGAAAGTGACAAAAAGTATATATTAAAACGAGTTGAATATCACAGGTGGTTTCTTCAGTATCCGTACAAATAGAGAACGGAAGAAATTCCTCCTAATCCTCACCTCAACCCATACCCCACCCCGAACTGTAGCAAGGTAGTCCCATATACACATGTGATTTTAATCACGTTTTACGATTTATTTTATTTGGTTTGTTTGTTTTCTTACAAGTCAATCGATATTTTTATTCCAAGAAGCTACTAATATACCTCTCCCTTATAACAGCGTGTCTGAATGAATGATGATAATAAGAATAATTCGAGGTTCCTATATACCGCTTTATCACAACCTAGTTCGTAGGTCGTCTCGAGGCGGTTCCCCAATTATTATCAGTGGTTACAGGGGCTTTGCAACCAGACAACATCTCGCAACTCCCTGGGGAGCATACAGCCAGTGCTGCCATTTCGGCGCTCACAGCTAGCATTCAACAATTCTAGTACTGCCCAACCACGTACTCATTTACAGCTGAGTAGACTGGAACAAGCGGAATAAAGTATCTTGTTCAAGGATAAAACATAGTGCCATGACGTGACTCGAACCCGCAACCATTCCGTCACGAACCCAGCGTCCTGCCACTAGACTATCGTGTCTCCGTTATGATATTGACGAGGCAATCACACATCATATCCCCTCACACGATCATATTTCCCTTATTAGGAACCCCTCTAGAAAAACTGGGCAGGAGCCACGGCAACTGAAATCCGAATGACGGAATTCGAAGCAGATGACAACAATGGCGCGTCAACCTGACCTTTTCTGTTATTGTTTGATTATTTTTGATTAAATAGTTTTGCCCTCACTGTATAATATTTGTCCGCGTTGATGGACAGTAGATTTGTAAGATGTGCCCGGTAAGTGACACTAATGGTGTGTATGGATGTACCTAGATACTCAGGTACAAAAACCACAAATCGTCCCGTCCGGTTGTTGACTGTATGATCGATTGGTTATGGATGTTTGTAAAAGTAAACAGTGATGATGGGCACCTACAGGGAATCATGAAATATATATTCCACAAGTTAAAATATAACCCACAAAATGTATAACTAAAATTAAGTATATGTTAAATGCATAATATATCAAAAAAAAATCACGATTCCCGCCAAAAGTTTGTTCCTCTAAAAATTAATTAAGTTGTCTTATCCGAAAAAAAAATGCATTATTGGTCTTTTTTTAGGACACCATCAATTCATAACTACCATAATTACCAGAACAAGATCGCATCAGGTAATGTTGTAAATGTTTAATATCTAAATGCCTTGTTGAGAAAAGTATTAGCATTGTGATATAAAATCATCCATTTTCATTGGCGAGAAGAATTAAAGAAACTGCCAGCTTGTTTTCTACTGTTACGCCGCTTTTCATTTGAATGTACAATAAAGGAATTTTGTTGAAATCACTATTTTTTTTCTAAATTGGTAAATACCCCCATTGACCCCCTTCTAAATGTAAAGGAAACGTATAGGTCTGATCTAAGTTACACGTGTTCTCAGATAGATTGAGTTTATACAGAGCCACCTATCCTGTGTTACCACAAACGAACAGACATTTCAACACCGAACGTCAATGAAGCACATTCCCAAGCGAAAATCTTGAATGTGCCTTCAAACTTACCTTTCCAAAGAACCTGTTTCGATTTAATTTAAAATAATAAGGATTAATTTGATAAAACCAGCTTTATTTTGATTAACAATGGAAAGATTCTCTTTTTGTATTTTGTTTGTTTTGACTATGATGTTGCTCGGCGCATTGTTTCCGGTTTCCACTGAGGCTGAAGATTCACCAGAGCTGGGAGAAGACATTAAAGAGGTGAAAATGGAAGTAGTAAGGAAACCGAAATTTTGTCTCCGGAAAGCAAAGACAGGAGACCTTTTGCTGCTGAAGATGGAAGGGAAAATTTTCTCTACCGGGGAAATATTTGATACAAAGTAAGTAATACTCTTCCAATGTCGTGTACGAACTGTGGTTCTTGTATCACTAATACTAACTCTGACATTGGAATCAATACATTGGTTTATACTTCGGATCAATATTTATTTCATTAAGTATGCTGTTCGTGTCTTAAACTATTTTCAATTGTGGACTACTTCTTCCAACAAAGTGACTGATTATGCCCGTAGACTTTATACTCCTGACGTTTGTCTAAGTCTTGTTGCTGGAATTTATTATGGTACGTCTTTCCATAATTTTCGAGATAATTTCCAGGAAAAGAAAGATGATTCTCGAATTATTTACCAAAAGAAAATGTGTCGATTGGTAAAAAACGTAGTGTTCGTCTACTATATCAGCCACTGGATCTGCCATGAACTGTATTTTTACACACGAGTAGGGGGCCTATTGCTTTATGCTATTGTTATTATTAATTCTATTCTTTCTCCTTTTCCTTCTCATTATTCTTCTCCGACAAACGCTTTTCTGAATATTTTCAGAATCTACCGGCCAGATTATTATAGAAGTTTTTATAGTCGGATTTTGTACAAACTGAATATGGCATTTCGAATTCTTTCCAATACATTACTTGCGACTTAAGGCGCAGTTTGAGGGACTTTTTATCGGGACCCGATACACATTGCACTTGTTTTTATTTCAGATAATAGAGTGCAGATCATTCATCATCACTAAACTATAGTCTTGCTAAAGTTACACATGAGCTTGTTATTATTAAAATGTATTTTAAAGGAGTGTGTGCAACTAACTGTTTACAGCATGAAAGAAAAGCAGCCCTACATATTCCAATATCGGGGAGGTCAGCTCGACCCGGAAATGGAGAATGCTATGACTGATATGTGTGCGGGAGAAATAAGGAAGATTCGTATACCAGGGGGCGGTGATCGACAGACCTTCACCGCGAAAACCGGTATGTAACTTAGACAAAAATACTCAGCTAGGAGATTTTCGTCTTCAATAGCTTTTTTGGAATCTTACCTCCTCAGTCACAGTTGTAATCGTACATTGACTTGGGACAGGAATCTATCAAAGTGTCAAAATGTTGTCGTCTGCCTAGTGTTTTGATTAAGAAAAACATCAACATATATACATGTATTATGGCCTGTAAGTCAATATGACCAACACCGTCCACATGATAAGGGCGTGTTTTTGCACGTGCAAATAATGGTCAGGTGATGCCACGTTTCATTTCATCAACAAGCATATATCACATACTCTGGACGTTTTAGGCTGGCATTTTTGCATGGGTTTAAGTTGAAACGATTTGATATGAACGAATGGATTTTAATTGCAATAGGAAGGAGACTTGTGGAAGAGCGATGCACGCACATGTACTGTTATTGCGTCTTAAATAACGAAAAGCGTTTCCAAAACAAGGTCATGATAGAATATGAATTGCCGCACAGCGCAATTATTGTTATTCAAATAGCTCTCAAAGCCTACTCAGTGAAAGACCAGCATTTAAGAACAACTAGAGCTCTTAATTAATAAATACTGTTTTACTATTGTTGATTTCAGGTGTACAGGTATCGGCCAACTCTACTCTAGAGTTTGTCGTGGAACTACAAGATATCCAAGATAGTCCCGATCACGTGATGGTGTTTAATTTATTAAACAATGACAAATCAGGAACACTGTCGGTGGCACAGGTAATTAAACAACTCTATCTGACGAGAGCTATGTTTAGTCACACGGTACAGATATATTTTCAACATAGGATCAATTAACGGCATTATTTGTACTAAAGCACCACCCATTCTTATATGGGTTATTTTTGATAACATTACCGACATCCTAAAGGCATCATAAAATTGCTCTTAACTTCATTCCATATGTAAAAGCAGGTATTGTCCATAACTAACCCGCACGGATAAGCGATTAATGTATTTATCAAAGGTTGTACGGAGATAAAGAATATCCATACAATATCATACAATTATGGACATTTGTGCCCGTGAATATGATGTGATATGAACCTGAAAAATCGATATTAACCGAGGCGAAGCCGAGGTCAATATCATTTTTTCAGATTCATATCACAAAATATGCACCAGCACAAAAGCCCTTATCTGTTTTATTATATGCTTCAACAATTTTTTTTATATTGTTAACCTTTACTGGAACGAGCCTTCGAGTAACATTTAGACTTCCCAGACGACCAGAGCGTTACAGGCCAAGTACCACACAACGAGACGTGAAATGAACATGATTTACATATACGCTCCTAAAAGTAGTCCCAACACATTTATAAATGTCATTCCAGTAGTCAAGTTTCAAGTTTTATTTTTACACTCATGACACACGAGGTGTGTTACAAGAGGTCAACATATTAATACATTTCAATTACATAGCAATGTGAGTACAGATTGTGTATACAACATGTAAATATATAATACTACAGAATAATAGCACTGCATTTATCTTATGTCACCTGAAGCCTTCATTGTTTTCTCTAGAAAACGACTTATTTTAGGTAAAACATTTAAATTACAAATATAAATCATTCCTTTTAGCTTAAAATTGCTTGGGTTTGTAGTGTAATCATTATGGATATATAATTTTCTTATTGATGATATATAAGAATTTTGGCATTTAAACAAATAATGTGGTTCATCACCTATACCTGTTTGACATAAAGGACATATTCTATCGATTTTGGAGTTGTATTCCAGCATCCAGTCTCTATTGGGAAATTTAGATTAGACGTTCGGAATTTACAAATAATTTTTCTATCTTTTTCATTAAATTTTGTCGGATATGATTCATACTGAATGATTGTCTTAGATATGGAGTAGAAATTACCACGAGAAGAGTTTTCTATCTCTTGGAACCATTTCTGTATCAATTGATCTTTTAACCGCTGTTTAACTACAGCTTTGAAATGATTTCTATTTTAATTACATATATTTTGAAAAACCACAAATTGCTAAAACCTAACTTGTTTAATATATCTTTTATGTAATTATTCCATTTAAAATGCATTTGTTCATTTGATTGTAAAATATATGTCATTTTGTATATCAGACTAGATATCTTGCTCCCGCCAGTTAACAACTTAAACCAGAACATAATCATTCTTGTCTTGATTTCTACTTCCAGAGGATATCTCCCGGTTTCTCCATAAATCATGTAATTCGGAGTAGATTTTTTCACATTCATGACTCTTTTACAAAATTACAAATGCATTCTTTCTATGGTAATAGTGTTTTCGAATCCCTATATCTCACAAGCATACAATAGGATCGGTGAAACAAGAGAATCAAATAACTTAAGTTGCAAATCAACAGACAATGGAATATTTCTTACTTTCTTGCACAATGCCTATAGTGTCTTTTTAGCTTGTTCAGTTAATTTTGTTTTTGCTTTACTAAATGTACCATTGCTATTAAATAATATGCCCAGATATGAATAAGAATTTTGGACTTCTAAATTTTCTTCATTCAATTTAAACACATATTGTTGTCTACGTTTTCTTTTTTCGAAGATGACGACTTTCGTTTTCTGTACATTAATAGTCAACTTCCAACTTCTACAATAGTTTTAAAACACACTCAGGGCATATGCATGTTGTAACCCCTCGGGTGTCTCAGCCATTAGCACAGTAACATCCGCATACAGTATTACAAATAGTTTAAGATACATTCAAATGTTAATTTGGCGGAGTGTTTCTACATCATTGATACGCAACATCATTATGGTTTGAAAATTGTCAAGATCATCCAGATATAGGGAAAACAAAAATTGGGATAAATTTTCCCCCTGTTTTAATCCGACATTGCAAACGAAAAATTCCGAAATTTCATTTCCGTGTTTAACACATGACTTTGTATTAAAATATATAAGTTTTTGATAACCTTAAACACTTTTCCATTTATGTTACTTTTTAACATCTTTTGCCATAATCCCGCTCGCCAAACTGTGTCGAACGCTTTTCGAAAATCAGCAAATGTACAGTACAGCCTTTTTACCTTGGGCAAAATACGTGTTTATTAATGAGTGTAATATAAAAATATTTTGAGTCGTCGAGTAACCTTTTCTAAACCCTGCCTGAGAGGGAGAAATTAGGTTAATTTCATCAGCTAGTTTAGTTAATCTATTATTGGTGATATGAGTAAACACTTTCCCCAAGCAAGACACTAGAGTTATAGCTCTATGGTTGTCCGGGTCGCAAGTTTCTCCTTTATTTTTATAAATAGGCTTAATTATTCCAACTGTCCAAGAGTCTGGGACTAATCCAGTATTTAGTATACTGTTAAATAACATTGTATATAACGGCATAAAGTTAGTTAATGTACTCTTGATATGCTCATTTAAAATGACATCATTTCCACATGCTTTGTAATGTTTTAATTTTTTTACCGCATGTATAACCTCGTCTAGTATTTGGTAAAAAGTATTATTTTCTTGTTCGGGAATATATATGTTATCATCATCCCGGTCATCAGTTGAATTGTTCAGCTTTTTGAAATACTCACAAAGTTCATTTATTGGTATGTCAGATTTATTAGATTTAGCTTTACCAGATACTTTATTTAGTAAGTTCCATAGGGTAGTCCGATGTGACGGCTCCGCGGTCAAAAACAATAAGAAGAATGACAGTTTCAACACATTCAACCGAATGGGCATGTTTTGTGATTACATCATATACGTATAGTGGAATTTAACCTCGTGAGTCATGACAGTAATAAGGGACATCGTCGGTAGTAGTTAGATCAGTAGCCGGACTATGACTATTAGATATGGTATGGGTTACACTTCTTTAAGAGATGCCATCTTGATATGGTTAACGTAAGAGGGTTCAACTATAAGCGCTAATGTATGACGTCACAAAACATAATGTATCAGGGGACACAAATAAGGAAATAACATCCTTATTTGTGTTACGTCAATCATATGACGTCACAGCAAGCTTTGGGTAGATGCCATTTAAGTACATCGTGATATACATTTGTTATCATGTTTGGAGAGCAAGCACGTAATGTACCATGTAGTTTCACGCTTTGTAAATGGGAATGATATGTGTTGTGTATATAGAACAAATTAAAGTATGACATCCTATTTTCAGTTCATGGCGATAGCAGCACAGGGCCTTGAAATGTTTCCATTGATTTCGACACTTGAAGAAATGGAAGTGGTCATTGTGGAGGCTTTCCGTCTGGCCGACAAGGACGGCGATGGTCGCCTTGACCTTGAAGAATATCTCGACTCCCCATTGGTCAGTAAAGAGAATCCTGAACATGAAGAGGCCATCCAGAAGAGAATGAATGAATACAGAGAGAAAGAAGCGGAAAAGGCTGAAGAGGCTAAAAAAGCCAAAAGTAAACCAAAAAATGAGGAATTATAGGCTTGGCTACTTAGTATCTATGACATTAAATTATGAAAGTGAATTCGATATTTCAAAAGAAACTAATTGCTGAGCGAAAGCTCAACTCAACCGCGATTGAAAAGGTTTTAAATTCTTTTTATGAAATTCTCTTTTTTAACTAAGAATCATTTAGAATCATGAAAGTCATAATGAAGCAGCAATTAAGAACCTTGTTAATTGAGATTGTTTTTTGAGTGAATAGGATAATAACTACATGATCTATCTGACTGAGTAGATCTTTGTAAATGTTCAACACGCTTTCCGAGCGGGGTATCTCAGATAACGTTTTTTCAAAAATATTCATGATATTTTATATTTTTGTTTTTTATTTAATATCTGAAAATGACAAGTACCACTTAAAATGGTCGATTTTGAAATGTACATTATGTTCGTTATAGAAATCTTAAATCATATTCATATTTGCCTACAATGGAAAATGAAACCCATTAGTTACCGACCTTCGCATGGGAAATACCAATCGAAAAGATTTCTTTTTTTGAGATATGATTACAGATGAACAAAAGAAGATGTGTATCATATATCTGATCAAATTAATATACAATACACTCATTGTATATTTCTTATTGTCATCGACACAAATGAAGTAATTAAGATTGAGAGTTATGGTACAAATTAATACGCACGACATATAACTAATATCTCTTCTACAAAGTTCCCTTTCTAAAAAAATTCTTTTGTTAATTTTTAAATTTTGAATACTTCTTTGTTGAGATTTGTTCATGTTCTCGCGAGTCTTATAATGAAAAGACGCTAAAATACGGACCGGAACAGGCCGAAAAACTCAACTTTTGGTTAAAACTTTCCACCAAACGTTAATGAAAGCTTTTCTTTCTAGTATATAAATCATAACTCGTTTCACAAAAATGGTTGTCCGTTCGCATTTTTGTTTTGTTTTACTTTTCATGGAAATCGCTATTTTGAAAAACGTCCCTCCCCCTTTCACATGATGAATTGCTTAAGATGTCCTCTGAAATGCCTTATTTCCGAGCATTTCTAGACTATACATGTGTAGTAAAATAAGTACCAGAGATATGTATAATCATTATGTCAATAACTTTGATGAACAGATATTTTTTCATTATTTTTGGATGATTTCCAAGTTACGACTTAGCATTATTTTCTATAACCGAATCTCAATTATTAATGCTATATTAATTTCATCACAACTTCTGTTGCATTCTTTTTCTCTCGGAGTTATCCGTGATGCTTAACCAAAGATAAATTGGACAAATGGACGTTAGCCTGGTGTTTTGGGGAATGTGCTGGCGATCTTTGCGCGAAGATTATAATTCAAGAAAAAATAGTAATACAAATAGTACTTATGAACGCTTTGACCAATAAAATCCTTTAAATAATGTTCGGAGGCCCAATAGTTGAACATCTTTAATAGCGATACAAGGTTTGTATGTAAACACGAATTGTAATTTCTACTTTTGGTTTTACATATATATATAAATATAGAAAAGTCTGCAAAATGATTGATTGGGCTATCAGCCAATGGAATCACTAAGAAAAATATGTTAACGAGAAAATGTTGATAATATCCATTTGTCCCGGGATCACTATAAAAGGGAGGTAACTCTGAGAAAAATAGATGTAAGTCAACAATAGAAATCACGCTCACTTCTATATCTGATACTGTGACGTAATACTGTGACGTAATACTGTCATGTGTTATCTCCAACAAGTTTCTCTGCATGAAATAAAGATCCGGGTGACTGAGACCGGAGTTGTGTTGTTATTGACTCTATATGATAACTATTGTTATTTACGTTACACCAAACGGTACTACGTATAATGTAACTACGCAATGTCCATGTTCTCAATGAGATAAACATTACTTACGGAAATTAATTTCTTGATTCGAAAAAAGTTTTGGAAACAAGAAAATAATTGTGTCCATATCTGAACGAACATAGAAACAGAGAAATATAATTGCTACTTTTCATTTGATTATGAAAGGTTTCAGGGAGGGAAAATGGCGTTATGCTTATAGGTGACATTAAAAGTTATAAAATACCTGAAAGACATGTTTTTGAGTTTCTTTTTAACAATTGATAAGATGTACCTATACCGGGATCTGTGTTGATTGATAAGATGTACCTATACCGGGATCTGTGTGGATTGATAAGATGTACCTATACCGGGATCTGTGTTGATTGATTTCTGTGATCACTTTCCCATTTGGAGCCGAACACAACTATAACAAAGAAGCGTAACAAGAATCCCAGCATATATATTTCCAGAAGAAACGTAAAGACACGAGTTGCTCCGAATGCAAGTTGTTTGTAATTTAATTTCATAGTTTCTCTGATCTGTATATAGAGGATAAGAAATACGGGGAATCAGAATGGAAATATCGCCGGAAAAAATGTTGACGACGGACAATGAACGATTTAATAAAACACTGCTACCAATCTACATACTCATTTCTCACTTCTCACACAAGTAAAACCATGTTGATTTCGATGTGTTTATTTGAAATTTGATACTGATGTGGCAACTGACATGTGCATCTATACGTTTTGCATAGTGTAACAGTGGGTAGTATTTTCTTGTCCGAATAATTTTGCGGATCGACCCTGTCTGCAGCAATAAAACGTCACCGTGTTGCCCTTAAACAATGATCTAAAGTGCATAATTAACGCACACGTGTTTAAAATAAATCAGAAACAGTAACAATTAAACCCCACCTTACTCACTGGATAGCTAGGGATAGAAGACTTGGCTGTAGTAGTGATAGAAATGACTGAATTCAGTAAAGTCCTGTTGAGTAAACAATTTGTTTGTTTACGAGCGGAGTGCTTGGAACAACATGTGATAACTACAAGAGCCATTACATGTTCCTATAATGTTCATATCGAGATCGTGTAGTAACGGAACATGACTTTACAGCACAGACGTGATAAATTCATGTTAAAGTGCTATCGATGTTCTCAGAAGAATTTCATTTCAAAGTATTTCTGCCCTGAGAAGCCGGCAAAGTATGCTCTGCGAGTAATAATTGGAAGTTATTAGATAAATCCTGCAACCAATCAAAGATACACAAAATGCAAGAATTGAAAACTCTCGGGTAGATTCTAGATTATGAGATATAATGTTTATTTGATTAAAGCAACGTAAGGAAAATAACTCGTACACTAACCATGTGTAATAGTTGTAAGGTAGCATACAACCTTAAGTTTTATTTAACATCGGTACGTAGCTGAAATGGTTACACAAATAACGTCTGTTTAAAGTCAAAGATATTTTCCAGAAAATGGTTATTAATTACCAATCCATCCTAAATACCTATCTCCTATATGAACATCATAAACTGCAAACTCTCGTCAAAAGTTATTCTGTTAATATTAAAATATATCTGTATACATTACAGCTGACCTTCGTGACGTTTACATGACACTGATTATAGATAAATATGGCATACCAGTATTTGTCTACTTAGACAATCTGCAGTACGAAGACTTCCTAAGGACTCTTCTCGGGAAACATGTTCCAGCAGAAAAACTAGAAAGTAAAAGAGGAATACCAGGAATTCCTCTTGGACAGTGGCAAATTTATCAGAAGTGCTGTCCATGTGTTCTTATCAAATGATAATCCACCCTGACTTTTAATATATTCTGTACCAGTGTACCAACAAAAGTAAAATGATTTTACTCATGCATTCGAGGAAGAACTGTATCAAAATAATGGTATAGACTCAACACGTTCAAATTAATTTGATGTAAATAACTCTTTCTTTTTGTAAATCTCTTAACAGAGGAATAAAAATATTTGATTTGATTTGATTGATTTGATACATTACGGGATAAGAAAGTGTAGTTTTGATAATAAAGTGTTAAAAGGGAAGACAAAAACAGACTTTTTAAAATACACTTTCAATTTACCTACGTTTTAACGGTAACACTTCATTGAAATAAAAAGATATTATTGCCCTAGGGAGCCGATACACACGGAAGTACGAGTCCGGTATAATTCTCCATACACGTACATGCACACCGCTATACATATCGGAACGTCCTGCTCTACGTTGGCCCGGGGGGCACGGATCACCGAAATCGGAACACCCGGGGTACTACCAGGATATGATTGACAGGACAGATACGTGTACCGAAAAATCAATGAAGTGAGACAGTCGACTCAAACACTACAAAAGGAGCTGGTCGGCTGTTTCGGATTATCGTCTGCTGGATAACCGAACTACTCGGTAGTGAAGCGGACGGAAAACCTATCAATCAATCAATCATTTTTTTCGGACTGGACATCAGGAAAAGGGTCAGTTTCGTTTCGATACTCGAACTGTGAACACAAAATGATGGCGTTAAGGAAACTTTTAGCTGCTCTCATTATTGTAGTAGTAACAGCAATTGCTCTGGCAGAAGATGAAGGCAACAAACGAGGTGATTTGCCGGAAGTGGAAATTGAAGTGCTAGTTGCTCCAACAGAAGCAGACTGTACCCGGAAATCCAAAGCCAAAGATGTTCTGAAAGTTCACTATGACGGATTCTTACAGGACGGTACTCCATTCGACTCCAGGTAAAATCATTCTTTGAATTGTGTGTTATAAATTAAACTATACATTCCTAATGTACCGACAGGGGTACCTGAGGAGCATCATTAGGAGATGTCTTATAAATAAAATTAAATTTTCAAGGGATATGACAGGGAGAACATTTGTTGATTTTGCTGGAGGCCGTACAGTCAGAAATAACTATCTCCTTTACAAAATATTATTGGGCAGAGCTAGTCCGAAATTCTTCCCTGGAGTGTTTTTGAAATAAATTGGGTACCACCAGGCTTGGTGCACACTTCGATTATTTTGTTTGTTTTATACTGGACTATGCTGGACTATGCCCGTATATTTTATACTGGACAATGCCCGTATATTTTATACTGGACTATGCCGTTATATTTATACTGGACTATGCCCGTATAGCTTATACTGGACAATGCCCGTATATTTTATACTGGACTATGCCGGTATATTTATACTGGACTATGCCCGTATATCTTATACTGGACAATGCCCGTATATTTTATACTGGACTATGAATCATCAAACAAGATGGAAGGTGTAAAAATTTGTAAGGATGAAAGGACTGCATTTGTCAGGGAGAATTTGTGACGTCATAATTGAAATGACATTTTAGGATTAACCTGCTGGTTCTATAAATAGTAAAACTTAGTAAATATTACAAATCATCGACCTTCACCTGATTATGATACAACCAATGAGAACGTAGGAATATGTGTCATTTAGTCTTATCTTTGGGGGTTTATAATACCATACCGGTATACACTACGTCAGAAAACGAACTAACGTGATTGTGTAATTCCTACAATGTATATAATGAACGCGTTCTGAAAAGACATATCTTTTACTCTGTGTACACATTTCACTCATTCTCAGCTAATGTGTGTTTTCCCTTCACAGCCGTTCTAATGGCGCCAACCCGATGTTTGTCCAGCTTGGAAGTAAGACAATCATTAAGGGATGGGATATAGGCCTCGTAGATATGTGTATCGGAGAGAAACGCAGACTCACCGTCCCACCAAGGTTCGCATACGGCTCACAGGCTCGAGGTAAGGTCAACTTAAGCAGCTTTTGAGATTTTCAATATTGTAGATTTATACATTCCAGTATATTGTCATGAGACAAAACATTACAGAAAATACAAGAACTTTCATAATGGTCAGGATTTGTTTTTAAGAATTCATTGTCATTTTTATGTATAACATGCCAATAAATCTGTGCATGCCAGCAACGAAAATGTTGTTTGAACACGCAGAAAGTTGGCCCAAGAGACGAAAGTGTATACATTTCACCAGGCGAAACTTTAATTGATTTTAAATTATCATACACAATTTAACCGGGACTTGCTTACATTTAGGTGATGTGCCTGCAAAGTCAACGGTGATATTCGAGGTGGAACTCTTTGACATTAAAGGCGGGATTGGTCTGTCTGACGCCTTCCGGAGACTTGATCTAGACATGGACGGCTTCATTGACACAGTTGAGGTGAGTGTTGTCAAAAATTCCCCTTATAATTCCACACCTATTTACAATTTTTCATTTTGCGTAATCAAAAGCAAAACTAGCATAAATTGCACTTTTTTTAAATTTGATGTTTATCAAAACTAGCCTCGAAAAGATATTAAGTATACACAAACAATATCCTATAGGACTACGAAACACGCTGTCCATTAAGTATGCAATTAGTCATGTGATTGGCCATGCTCATTAGTATGCTTTGTCGTTTCTTTGTCATTCCCTCATCTCTTACTTTGAGGACATGACATTACTTTGATTTGACCAGGGTTTAAATGACGGGTGTCGCCGATAAAGCAGAAAACACCTACCCTTCTGGAACAGCTGGTCTTATTGATTTTGACTTCGAATGACGGTTTCGTTGACACCTCGGTATTATCTTGTTGTAGATTTTGAGGACTTACCTAGCTTTTAGTAATATATTTTTGTTTCAGTTTGAGGATCAACTGAAGGCTGCCGCTAAAACCAACGAGTTCCCCATTCCACAGGACGACTTTATGATCGGAAAAATTGTACAAATGGCTTTCCAGGCAGGCGACAAAGATCGCGATGGACTTCTCAGCGAAAAAGAGCTTGGCAAGATTCCTGGTATTAAAAACATTCTAGCAAAGAAAGATGAGCTTTAATCATGATCGGAATAATTACAGTTGGAGCATCGCTATTATCTCATAAGATATTTCGAAAAATCCAAACCACGCATATCTTAAGAACTTATATCAGGAATGATCACTTAAGTTTAGTTATCATAGAACTGTTTATTAAATGTATTATGGAACTTTCTAGATATCTTGGTCATTAACCAAGTCGTGTCCCGTAACGGATTAAGCAGAAATCGGGACAAAACAAGCCACACTATCTTGTTTTCTGAATAATTAAATATTTGAAATTCGTGATAAGTTTATTCATTCGGAAGCGAAAAATGGTTTGGAGTACTAGGATTTATTTCATGTTATTTGTGCGCTTGGTTTAATGACGTCATACATTATGTGACGGCTAAAGGAGGATGTGCCACGCGTTTAAAAGTGTGTAGCGGTACGATTTCTATCACTAGAGGGCGGTGGTGATGATTTACCCAGAATTCTGTGTGGCTTAAGAATGTGTTGTTGCTGTAAATGGATGAATGTGATTGGATGCTTGTATAAAGAAGACACAGTTACTGTTATTACGTACGCCTGTGTGTCATAGAATATGTAATACGCTCAATTTGTATTTATTCAAGCTCACGTCATTTATTTATATATCTACAATTGATTTGTTGATTCATTTCATTTATTTGTCAAATACAGTGTTTAATGCTGATCACAAGATTTTTCCCTCGAGCTAAGTAGGTGTTTTTTTTATTGTACAAGGATTCGCTTATTTCTGTCTGACATTTTTAGCGCACTCAAATTGTAGAGCTTTTCGAATTTCAATACATTAGCGCATTGGTGATTTTGCCCAACGCAACCACTAAAATATGAAAGTTGACAGTATATGAAGCTAGTAATTGCATTACTGGGATAACTCAACCCGGCATAGATTCACTACAGCCGATGATTGCGCTTTCAAGTTGTACGAATACAATGTATGTGTTCTGGCACGGAAAGCTAGGGTGTGCACGTAGGAGTGTGTATGTATATGTGTGTGTGTGTGTTTGTGCGTGTAATAGGGTGTGTAAAATACATGTATGAATGTGTTCATGAAAAAGGTCATAGATATATCTATAACTTATTATCTACAATCTATATGAGTTACTGTATGATTCATTTTATTTGGTGTGAATTTGAAAGATGAATTAATGTGAGCCACAGACAACGGTTACCATAGTCACGTGACAGTGTTTCCATGGTCACGAAAAATGGATAGCATATACATTCAATTGTTGTATTTGTTGTAAAATGTTCCGAGAATAAATTATTATAATATTTATACTAAAGCCACTCAGTGTTGAGTTACTCTCATTGTTTATTTATTTATTCGTTTATCTTTTTTCTGTTTCTCAACAAAACAAAGCGTTAACAAACAGGGGCACAATACATCGTTGATTCACCATTGTAACAGAATGCAATTTAACTCAGCTTAACTTAGCAATGACAAAGGAAACTATAGCAGCAACACGAGCAAACATTCATTTTAGCGGCAATCCAAAAGGGTAACTTACATGTAGTTCTTATATGTACGAACAGACCACAGGAGCCGCAAAAACGCTTAAGGTAAATAACTCCACGATCTAAAATACGACGTTGGGGGTCTTTATCCTAGTCTTTCTTTCTTAACGAAACCGTCGTGGAGCTAACAGTTAAATATAACACTTGTGACTTATGACGTTGTCTTTCGATCAGTACAAATGAAACGCAAATATATTAACGCCTGTAGTAAATTTTATATCAGGCACAGATACATTTTATTTTGTCTTTTCTAAAATAGACATTTATCCGTTTTCTCAAGGTTCTAACAGCTCCCAATACATTAAAACAGGAAGTTTATATTGAAGCAAGTGTAATAAAGTGAGTGTGAGTACATACCAATCAGTCAGAATCCTACCCTACTACGAACAACTCCAGGACAGTGTAATAAAGTGAGTGTGAGTACATACCAATAAGTCAGAATCCTACCCTACTACAAACAACTCCAGACAGTATAATAAAGTGAGCGTGAGTACATACCAATCAGTCAGAATCCTACCCTACTACAAACAACTCCAGGACAGTATAATAAAGTGAGTGTGAGTACATACCAATCAGTCAGAATCCTACCCTACTACAAACAACTCCAGACAGTATAATAAAGTGAGTGTGAGTACATACCAATCAGTTAGAATCCAACCCTACTACAAACAACTCCAGGACAATATAATAAAGTGAGTGTGAGTACATACCAGTCAGTTAGAATCCAACCCTACTACAAACAGCTCCAGACAGTATAATAAAGTGAGTGTGAGTACATACCTATCAGTAAGAATACAACCCTACTACAAACAACTCCAGACAGTATAATAAAGTGAGTGTAAGTACATACCAATAATATAATAATCCTATAATATACGATATAAATCGTCTGTTGTAACTCATAACAGTTAAATATAACACTTGTGACTTATGACGTTGTCTTTCGATCAGTACAAATGAAACGCAAATATATTAACGCCTGTAGTAAATTTTATATCAGGCACAGATACATTTTATTTTGTCTTTTCTAAAATAGACATTTATCCGTTTTCTCAAGGTTCTAACAGCTCCCAATACATTAAAACAGGAAGTTTATATTGAAGCAAGTGTAATAAAGTGAGTGTGAGTACATACCAATCAGTCAGAATCCTACCCTACTACAAACAACTCCAGACAGTATAATAAAGTGAGTGTAAGTACATACCAATAATATAATAATACTATAATATACGATATAAATCGTCTGTTGTAACTCAGTTTGTGACAATATAAAGGGGGTTTATAGACACCTTTGCTTTTTCGCTGTATTCTACATATCTCTCGGAACATTTAAGGCATGGGATTTCATTCTTATGACATTTTGTACTAATGATTATTCCCCATTGAACGAAATGGCCACATGGTGAAATACACATTTACCATGTTAACTATAACAGGATTTAATAGGAAACGTGACGAGTGCCTGGAAATTACTTGCCTCTTTGTCCATATCATATAACAACTTAAATTTAAAATTCACTCCAGTGTATAATTTGTAAACCCCAGTTCAAGATGTTTCCAATGATTGTCGGCTGTAGCCTGTATGACCGCCTCAGGGAGATTGTTACATACATCGACAGTTCTGTAGCCAAAGGAATGTTTCCTTATAACTAATTTACAATGTTTTTCCTGTATTTTTTGAGTATGCTCTCTTATTCAAGATGTTGAGTCTGGATCAAAGATGCCAGCTTTGGTACAAGCTTTCTGCATATACGAACAACATTTACAAATAGGTGTTCCATTCCTTTGTATTTCTAATGAGAAATGGTAACAGGTACATTGTACATGAAATTTGGGAATTACATTTAAAAAGGCATTTCATGAAGATGATTATGAATCAAAGTACTAACCGACTTATAAGCAGTGCCTTTCATTGTGTGTTTTTAAAGAAGCAACTTTTGAAAATACGCGAGACACATTTATCACCAATAATCAGTAAATAGACAGTTAATTGGTGGACAAGGGAGTTACGTAGCTTTGCTGTGTTATCATTCATACAGTGCAATGGAGAGTGAAAACTGTCTTATACATTAAAATCCTCATAAAAACAACGGAAGGTATTTTTAAAGACGTAATCTAACGTAAAATCTTTACCTGGTCTCGATCTTACAGAGCAATACCTAGGGGTACGTACCCCCGGGTTGAGGTCGAAGTTCATCAGTAATATTATCCAAAAGATAAATACCTCAGGTTAGGAAGAACTTACGATAAAACTATGTTGCCCTGCTATATATGTATGCCTAGTGCTGTAATTTTTCATTTCTGAAATAACGGAAATCACAAACAAACAAGAAAATTGAATAATATTTTAACACACACGGCAATATATTCTAGATTCACATAGAATTCCATACACCCCATACAAACGACACTTGTGAAAGGAAAATACCAGAAAGAATGGAATGTACAAGAAGGCAACAGTGGCACGGGAAGCGACGAACTTTAGAAAAGCAGAGTGTTTTGAATAGTGGACAGTGTACTTAGCGCCGTCTGTGTCAGAGAAGATCACTTCCACGATTTCGCATTAAATATATTCTAGTATGTTTCCCATTCGATTTCTGCCTACAGTTGTTCAAAGTTTGTATAGTTTGTATAGTTTAATGTTGTTTGTATAGTTTGTATAGTTTAGTATAGTTTGTATAGTTAAGTATAGTTTGTTTAGTTTAGTATAGTTTGTATAGTTTATATAGTTTAGTAAAGTTTGTATAGTGAAGAATAGTTTGTATAGTTAAGTATAATCTGTATAGTTAAGTATAGTTTGTATAGTTTGTATAGTTTAGTATTGTTTGTATAGTTTAGTATAGTTTGTATAGTTTAGTATAGTTTAGTATAGTTTGTATAGTTTAGTATATTTTATTTGGTTTAGTATAGTTTGTATATTTTAGAATAGTTTGTGTAGTTTAGTATAGTTTGTATAGTTAAGTATAGTTTATTATAGTTTGTATGTTTAGTATAGTTTAGTATAGTATGTATAGTTTAGTATAGTTTGTATAGTTTGTTAAGTTTGTATGGTTTAGTATAGTTTGTATTGTTTGCATGTTTAGTATAGTTTGTATGGTTTAGTATAGTTATGTAGTTTTTATGCTTATGTGGTGTTTGTTGACGTTCTGTAAGCGTGCGAATGACTGTGAGTGAAGCATGTGAGTGACCTCGAATTGTTCATGCATGTGTTTTGTTCCAAGATAAAAAGTACCCAAGCTGAGATAGCTGTCCAGTGTTCTATATTTGTGAAGCGTATGTGTGCCGACTGTACTGGTACGAATACAACAATGGCGTCACGAGCATTCCCGAGTCTGTTCGCGGAGGTCATGGATACGCTAGAATCCGAGGAGAATTTCTAGTGGGATTAATACAAGAGACGTAGAATCCCGGGTAGAGGGTGCGCGCCATCTTTGATTGTCTTTTGTGTGATACACGTGTTTTGTGTTTCACGTTGTCCCAATGTTTATGTTTTGTGTTTAGAGTTGTATCCTGGGTAGAGGGAGCAATTTATTCACAAATTCATTCGATAGTTGACCCGTGTAGAAGGCCAACTACTGTCTGATACCCTTGCGTGTTTTTAAATAATAAAACAAAAACCAAAAACGAAACAAACGGAAACGGAACGGTTATCTTAGGACAATAAAAAAATAAAATATTTAGACAACATTTTATTCGTGGTCACGTTGGTTAGGTGCTCTGGTGGCGCTGTACCAATGGTAACTGATGTTTGATTAATTTAGTTTCAAGTGTATTCAGTGAGGTAGGTGTTCTGTTGACGCCAGGCTGCTCTGAATATCTATATATATATTTATTAATTTTTTTTTGCTCGCTGTGGTAGGTGTTCTGTTTGACGCTAACCCTCGAGTATTATTTATATTAAAACCACAGCTAGGGTGTCGGTTGTTTTTCTCTTACTGTTCTAATATGCAGTGTGGTGGGTGGTAATTACCGCTACCCCTGTTTAATAGAAATAAATTTTGTAAAAGGATTTGGGTATATTTTTTTTTTTTTTTTCTCTTGTTGTTTCTGTGTTAACAGATCTAGATGAACAAGCGGTATGCAGGGGTACTGATCGCAGATTCAAGAGCAAATAATTTTCAAAGATTTGGTCATCCAGAGGATTTCAACATCAAATTTATAATTCAGAGAGGCGCACAAATTCAGGACCTGGTGGCATTATCAATTCCAATCGTTCGGACATTTGAACCATCAAAAACTTTAATAATAAAAGTTGCTGCTGGCATTAATGATTTGTTAAAATTGGAACGGGAGCCAGATGGGAAAATTCTAGTACCGTCAGACAGGTCACCGGACAATATTATTGAAGAACTTTCAGAATTTAGAACACGTGTACAGGTAGTTAGACCATCAAGCCGAGTTAGTTTCATCACCATCCCTCCTGCTTCGTTAAAAGACTTTCAACTTAATAAATCCTCCAAACCAATTAACCAAAATCTGGTAACAAAATTACAAGAACAACACAATAAAACTGTGTTGGAGGTAAATTCTAGAATTCACCATTTAAATAACCAGACAGTGCCAACGGGTTGGACAGTTAAGTGGGCAGATACCATTGTTCACAAACACAAGAAAAGGAGAGGCCGTGCACGGAAAGTGATTACCGCTTACCGGTATTCCTTTGAACAGTATTACGATGGCTTACATGCCAAATCTGATGTAAAGAAAGAGTGGTACAAACAGGTGGTTTCTGGAATTCGAGGGGATATTACCAAATTGGAAAAACCAGGA